GGAAAGGGAAGGAAACCCCGCCCCACCCCGCCTCCCGCCTCTCCTGTGCGCATGCGCGGTCCGGCCGCGGGGCGGGCTGGGGGGCACTGAGGGTGAGAGGAGATGAGGAGGGTGGTGGGCCGGCAGGGCATGTGAGGGGCTTGGCCCCTTCTCTCCGTCCTTCCCCGTCCTTCCCCGCTGGGGATGGTGGGGCGGGAGCACTCGCAGGGAGTCACAAGGCCCTTGCAGCGGTTTTTTTCCTGCAGACGGGTGGCTGTTTTCTCATGGCTTCTCTGGTGCTGTGTTGTGGTGTGAGCCCCCCTCAGTCAGAAATGGATTTTTTATTTTCTGCTGACGTGCTAACAAAGCTCAGCAAATACCACCGTTAGACAACAGCACCAACTTTGGGGAAAATAAGTTTTAATAACACAGCATAAACAACTGTAGCATTTAATAAATAACATAAAAATAACGTAGCATTTAATAGCATAAAGTTAAATCTGTAGGTTCCGGATAGCTGGCACCTAGGTGGAAGGTAATTTGGGCAGTGAAGGAGCTATGCAGGTCTCACATATGGTGAGAGGTGTTGAGAAGGAGCAAAACGATGTATGATCAGGCTGCCTGTCCCATGGCCTTATTGAGACTTTACACTAGTAACTTCCATTTGTGTTTCTACTTCCTTCACACTAAAACCTCCTTGCTGACATCAAAGCAGGCCTTGTCCATTTCCCTGGTTAAATTCAGCTCTGACAACCTATCCTGTGAATTTCATGCTCTTAGTCACCCCTGGTTTGGAAGTGCTTCCAAAAAGCCTCTAAGCATTCTATGTTTAGCTAAGCTGCACAGCTGCTCAGCTTTTGTGTCTGATGTTGTGGAAACCGCAGGTACTGATTCTGGTCGACAAAAGCACGAAAACAGAAATCACGACTCCTTCATGCTCATCAACCAATTTCAGAGATTGAAGTGGTGGTTTTTGTCATTTTTCCTTCCCTTGCAATTTTGTGATGCTGTCTCCAGTGTTGCTGTGTACATTGGAAGCCCCTGGACGTGGTAAGTGATTTTGCAACCTGCTTTCTGTTCTCAGTATTGTGCAAGTAAATCAATTTGCCACACTGTGCTCTTGACCGAACTATCTATGCTTTGTCATGTGTGTTTCGGGTTTATATAGGAAAGTTCTGCAGGGGAGAGGGCTCCTGGTGCTACTGTGGTTTTTACATTTGGTTGATTTTGGTGTGTTGTTCTAGCAGATGTTATGTGCTAATCCGAAACATCAGTTTGGACTGAGAAAGAGGAAGCCTTGGAAAGCGCTGTGAGCATGTGGGAGACAGGCCTGGCAATCATGTTTTCGCTTGGAGGATGTTCTCTGTTACATGTGGCGAGCGGAGGAAAAGCCCAAAACATCTAGGGATCTCCAATACCTTTCTTTTTGTTTGTTTGTTTTTGGTTTTGTTTTTTGTTTGTTGTTGTTGTTGTTTGTTTGTTTGTTTGTTTTATTGTATTATTGTGCCCATACTGGAGGCATTAGTTTTTAGGGAAGGTTTTCTGTACCTTAGTTTGACTTTGAAGTGCAAGAAGATGCAGGGCAAGAAGTCACTTGCAAGCTTGGCAGCCAGTATATGAGGTGACGGGTGGATGCTGTAACTGCTGGCTGCAACCTCACGCACTGGTGACCAGATTGGTGAATAGGGAGGGTGGAGGGAACTGACATGCCTTCCCATAGGTGAAACTGAAATGCATTCACACAAGCATTGCCTGGTTTAGTTTTCCCAGACAGAAATGGTGCTACATTGATGCAGAGATAATTTTTCTCCCACTAATAAAATTTTCCAAATAAAACCAATGTAATTTCAGTAGTTGTGATAGATATATTTCATTAGAACAACCCCATTAAACTTGAGATAACCTGTGCATGGATTTCAGCTGTGGATGCTTGGGTGTAGCAGGTTTTTTTTGTGAGGCATTGATCTCAAAATCATCCTTTTGAATTCTGATTTAAGTTTCCTACATTTTCCTCTGGAATACTGAAGGATAATACTTGCATAGTATTAAAAAAAAAATAAATTCTTGTCATTGCTCAAATCAACATAAACTTATTTTTGTAAAGTACAACTATAGCTGGTTGAAAAATTAAAACATTTAAAAAATAAAAATTGTTTTCATTTAAAATATTCAAATCTGGTTGGTATTTCTGTGGATAATTCTTAATTAAAATATTCTGGTTTTGTAAATACAAGTATGAATTTAAAATATTATCCAGTATTTCAAGAAATGGTTGGTTGCAAAGCAAAAAATTCAGGAATAATTTCAGTAATTAATCTTAGTATAATACTGACGTCTACTAAAGTAAAATAACTTTTCAGAACAAAGGCCCATGTTAATTAGATTTATTCAAAATAAGTATAAAAGTGACTATGACAGTTTTGCAGTAGAGACACATGAGGCTGGGCTATTGAAAGATTTTTTTTATATATTTTACATATGGAAATAAGTTATTTGGGGAAGTTTGTGATTAAATAGTCTCAGGTATTTGCTTTCACTGAAAATCAAATAAAACACAAAAAGCTGATCTTTTATGTGCTGATTCTAATATGTTAGTATTGAACTCACTGTGCAAGGGAAATTTTAAAGATAAAATTGGGGTGAGGGTTATGCTGGCACGTTCTTGCCTGCACTTGACAGCATTTTCTTCTGGTATGTATAAATGTCTCTGCTAGTCCTTCCAACATAGTTCTTTGGTCAGCTGTGAAACAGGTGATGTTTTAGGAATGAGGCAGAATTTGAGGAGCTCTCTAATTATCTGCTGAAATTTGAAGTCCCGCCCAGTTAGTGATCATTATCAAAGGGGCAGGAGAATCTCCAAATTGTTGGAAGGTTAGCGGTAATGCATTTGCTGGCTGGAAGAAGGGGCAGCTGAACAGCTTCCCTCTGGCGCTGGTGATGTCGCGGCTGGTAGCAGAGCTCAGCAGTGAGGATGGCAGGGTGTTCCGTGGAGCTGGCTGCTGCACACGCGTGTGCCCATACACACCGCTGTGCACCGGGCAAATCTCAGCCTTGCGTGTCTGCTGCAGGCAGGTGCTTGAGCTGTGCAGAAATCCAACTCTTCCAGCACGGTCAGAAGTTGATCAGCACTATGCAGAGAAAGCAGTGACAGGTAACCACCAGGCGGCACTGATATAACGACAACTCGTCACTGCTCACCAGTGCTTACACGATTTTTCACATTGCAACAGTTCAAAATAACTGGTAAAGTGCAAGTTACAATTGACTTAAGGCAGAGTTCCTTTATAACAATCAAATTTTGTTCCATCTAGGTTTAGATTTTTTTCAAAAACCCAAAATAAATGTTTCTGTGAAATTAGCAAATTAGCAAATCCTAGAAGTAATGTGTGATGGTACAGCTGGAGGAGGTGGTTTGTTTCTAACACATCAGAGTGGTGGGGTTTTTTCCCCAATCCTGCACAAATCTATTTCTGTGTTTGTATGTATTACAGAGTTACTAGGCTAACTGATTACTTTTTTTGAGACTAGTAAAAAATTAAGGCTGTGCAGACACACATGCAGTGTTAGGGAAACATATTGTTTATTGAGAGGAACTTCTTGTAGCGTTTTCTTGGTAGGGAAGTGCTAGAGCTCAATTAAAACATTTAACGAGTTATTTTGGTGTTATTTCATTACCTGCAGTCTTATTGTTTTAGGCTTAAAAAGGAGTTAAGAGAATTATAGGTAATATTTATAGCAGGGCAAAGTGAGTTGTATGTCCAGAAGTTAATGTAAATTGGCAGATAAGGTGGAATTTGTTAACCTTTGATAACTGATTTGTGTGTTCATGATGTGCTGTGTCATTGGTGATCATGCTGAGGGGTTTCCAGAGGTTCAAAGGGCCATGAGCTGGGATAAGAGCTGCTCAAAAGAGGCCAAAAGGCATTATAGTGTTAGGGGTCCAAAGTTCAGCACTGAAAGAAGGGTGTGTTTAGCAGAATGACCTGTGGCAATCCTGTTCTTTGGGGACGGCTTTGCACAGCTGTGCTGTAATGTTCTGTGGGACTTGGCGCTGCAAATACGTTACACGTGCAACAGCGTTTGTAAAAGTGAAACCACATCCGTGTATGTGTGTATACATGGTAAGTTCTTTTGTGTTTTTGGTAAATTGTTATTATTTTTTCCTTCAGAACAGACAAAAGGCCATTTTTGCTGCAAGTTAGGTGCCAGTTACGGTTTTCTCCGTTTGAACTTAGTTTCTCACTAAGATTTCACCTGAGAAATTCAGACTATGCTGTTGTAACCCAGCTCTCTTTTATCACAGTTTGTTTTAATAATCTAGGGATTTATAAAATTTTCCATGATTTCTTTAAGAAATAATGTTTGGGACATCCATACCCTGGAAGCCTAAGAAACTTAAGTCCACATAAAAGCTTTAGCACTGGTTTAGTAAATATACACAGATGTAACATAATGGAAACATAAATTTTGCGTGTGAAAGCTAAAACACATTATCATGGTCTTCTTAAAGTGAGATAGTGCTGCTGTTTTTTCCTACTCCCTTATAACAAGCATGTGAATTTGTATTTAGAACTTTTAAGTACACCTTTCATTAGTGTTGGCATTGTTTTATTCTTCAGAAAGAAATATAAACTTTTTGGTACATATACATTTAAACAGAGAAAGAGAGAGTTTGTAAGAGATACAGGAAAACATTATTGTTCTTATTTTTATTAATATCTTCACTCACGTCCATCTTGATCCTTTATTATCACCTTTTGATAGGACCATACACTGTACTGCGTTCAATTACAGCCGTGAAGGCCCATATGCAGCCTTTTATAAATTATTTGTGAGAGCAGGAGGAAATATTATGGACACTGTCTCTAAGTCACAGACTTTTTTTAGACTTTCCTGGTGGCTCACAGACTGAGGGGGGAACGGGAATATATCGATGTGCCTCAGTGTGACAAAGGGCAGATTCCTCACGGTGTTGTAGAGAAATGCTGTTGCCACTCTGGTAATAAACTGCCATGATTTAAACTTATCAGAACGAGAATCTCCAAGCCTCAATGGAGAGTATATAGGGTTGATGTAGTACCCGTATGCAGGGCTGCCACAGCCTGACCTCACTTCCTACAGCAGGAGTGGTTTTGGGTTGCACCCTGAACACTTCAGACGTATTTTCCTCCCTCTCTTGCTCCCTGTCAGACTGGGATGCCCGAGATGGTGAATGTCACTGCACGTTTTAGCTCCTGACAGCAGGCTAAGGAGAGAAATGTGAAAAGTGAATGTAAAACCTACTTTAAAATCTATGGACTTCTGGTTTATATTGGTATCTTACGGAAATGGGTAATGTGAGTACGACAATCTAAAAAATGAAATAATGAAATAAACCCTTTAAAGTAAAAATATGTCATAACAAGAGATCTCAGAATACTAATGGTCCTGATAGATCTGTCTGTTCTGTCTGGGTTTCTCATCCAGTTAGAATAGTTAAAGATAGTGTTGTTACAGCTGAAAACTTCACACTGTAACAGAATTCCTGCAATATTTTCCTGAGAAAAATGCTGAAGAACAAAGCATATGTGAAAAAGAGAGGATTGATCATGCAAAGCAGATAATAAAACCATTTATCCTGAGAAGAGTAAAAGATGAGGTAATGTTTTATCTTTAAAATAATGGTTTCATATCAAAAAGCCTGATAGTCTTTGAGACTGTCTGTAGAATTTAATATCAAATTTTGTCAGTGATAGTTTTACGTGTTCATCTAGGAAGAGAAAAAAACTTGAGCTATCTTTCATCAGTTTGCAAGTGAAAATGTGACCTGCTGCAGCTTTGGGTTTTGATGCTTGTTATGTGCTGACTATTTACAGGTGGGGATCGTAATTAGGAAAGATCACTGAAAGATGATTCTATGCACTGCTAAACAATGAGAAGTGATAAATCCTCCATGTTAACCAGAAAAATATGTGTGACTTTATAGTAATGATGTTTTATTTTAACTGAAAGGATTAAGGCAATGAATGTGGATGTGTGTATTTGTGCGTATGTCTGATTAGAAATGTATGTTTTAAGTTATTTTGCTGTCATCAAAATGTTTCTTTTTCATTTTGAAGACCAAAACCTGTTTAAATTATTCTGTTTAGAATTGCGTAGATAGAAAAGAAAGGGAAAACTTAATAATGATCCAAAAAAATGTTTCTGTGCACTTGCATACTTAGTGGTCATGGGCTTGAAGGGGGTATCTCTGATTTAGTGTGAGTGTAGGTTCGGGCTGTTGTGTATATTATTATTTTGTTGATTTCAGGAGCATGAAGACCTTGTTACTTTATGGGGGAGTGATGTATAATCCAAAACAAACTCTGAATTTGTAAGTCAAACTGCCAACTCAGGAAAGTTGCAGCCAATGAAAGGAGTTGGGATGAGGAGAATGAACAGAGTAGCTTAAAAGCAGGCTTGTAAGATAGTACGGGATTACTGTCCGTTCACTGCAGTACAGTTTTTACCTGGTATGCTTTTATTTTGTCAGGTCCTTAAACAGCTACCTCCCAAAAAAGATATCGTTGAATTACGTGTCATGTCTGAGAAACAGGAACAACTCTACTGTGATCTCTTTAACAAGCTCAAGAAGACTATTAACAGTAGTGGTATGTGAGAATCTCCTTTCCTTTTGCTGGATTTTTTTTCATGCCCAAATGTATGTTGAATGTGATGACAAATCCCTGGCTTTGTACAAATGTCTCAACACTCCTAAAATGATTATATTCCTTCTATGAATTTTTCCTAAGTTCAGGTAATAGGTGAAATGTTAAATTCAATCCTTATAAATAAAGTTCTCCTGAGATATAAAGATGTGTCAGATAGGCATCTGTGTCCTACTTCTGAATAGACCTTATTTCTTCGTTTACAGAGAAAAACTCTGATAGGGGAAATCTCATGATGCAACTTAGAAAAATGGCTAACCACCCTCTCTTGCACAGTCAGTATTACGCAACTGACAAGCTCAGGACAATGTCCAAGCTTATGCTCAAGGTAAGGTGATGAGATTCAGAAGCAATCCTTAATTTCTCTGAATTTTTAATGCAATTTAAATAGATTTATAGATTTATTTTTTTTTAACTCTCAGTCCTCTGGTCAAAACTGTCTTTGCAAAACATAATTCATTGTTGCTGCTTTTTATTTCTCTGCATCTACCAGTGCTCTAATCAAGCTCTGTCTCTGTTTAGCACGGATTTTTTTGTGTCAGATATTAGAATAGAGAGAACAGTTGTGGGACTGCAGTCATCTCCTTTTCAATAGCTTCCCCTTAACACCTCTTCCCTCCACTCAAAAATTTAAAACCAAAGTACTTTTGAAAAAAAAAAAAATCTTGGGTGGGCACTTGAGTTTACTGGCATTTTCTGAGTAGCATGAAATCTAGGCTGTACAGAACTAAACTAGGGAAGGCATAAGTATTGAACTGTTTAGGATTTTTTTTTTTTTTTGGTAATTTGTCTGGAGTTAGTGCCTGTGGACTTGGGGGAGAATTGTTGCTTCTTTGTAAAGTATATTAAAAAAAAGAATGTGCAGCAGGTGCTCTAAGAAAGTTGCAGGTGGCCTTGAATAGCTGCAGCTGATTTGTTTAAATAAAGCCAGTCAAGGTTAGGGGGAAGGGAGGAAGTTACCCATTAGCTTATGAAGGATTTTTGTCCCTTTTTATTCCTACTTATACCATCGTACTCTCCAGGTGTGGCTTTTTTTCCTCTTTCTTCCAGGCATGACATCCCTCTACCCACCCTACATCTTGGGCTGGGCTTCCCATGTCTTCTACCATCTATCCAAGGATTGGACCTCCCTTTTAGGGAATGTGTCTTCAGGGGAAGAGGTCTGATATGGGGGTAAAAGGTCATAAGGCTTCATGGGAACTAGGTCATTTCTGTAGAGGTTGAGCATATCCTTCTTAGTTTATTGGTAGTACAAGTTCTTGTAAAAGCCAAATGGTGAAGTAATGATCCTCTACTATAAACCTGGGGTTGCTTGCATGAGGCGTGCTCTGGCATTTGTCCATGTCTAGTTGTGCTACTCTGTTCTTTCAGAACTTTTGGATGTTACTATGTGGTATTTTGGGTTTTTTTCTTGCCTGTCTAGCAAGATTGTGTTTTGCGTGATTCTACCCATAGAGATGCTGACTGTGACCTTATCTTTGAAGATATGACAGTAATGTCAGATTTTGAGCTGCATTTGCTTTCTAAGCAATATTGTCACATCAGTGACTTCAAGTTAGACATGGATACGATCTTGGATTCTGGAAAGTTTAGAGCACTGGAATGCATTCTCTCTGACCTTAAAGAAAAGGTTGGTACCACAGATGGCTGAAGCATCTTTTCCTGTCCATCTAAAGGGTGTCTCTAAATAGCTGGTTAAATTCCCATCTGCGAGTTGTACATGCAACCCAGTTGCTTTTCTGTGGAGTATTACAGTGTGATGCACAGCATTGCAAAGCAATACTTGCACCTTTTAAGTATCCTGAATTTGCACGAGTGTGTGTTGTGCATCTGGTTGATTATTTCAGGCAACAGGGTGCTACTGCTCTGTATGATATGGAATTTAAGTTTTCAGTGAAAATAGGCTTTGTTGATGTTTGTAGATGGAGTAGACCTGTCATTGATGCATTTGACAGGTGATTTCTAGGTTGCTTGAGTCCCCTAAGTACAAAGTAATTGAAGAAATTATTGCACTGACAGAAGGCGGGTTAATGCAGCAGAAATACTGGATACGACATCTTTACTGAGAGTCCTGACTTGATGAATTTCAGCCTAGACTTTTAGTTTGGAAAATAGGGACCCAGTCAAAGGAAAATCACGTATTTGCACCAATAAAGTATTTCTGCAGTTCATTAAAGAATTTATGTAGTACGTGATCCATAATTGACCTGTTTTAAAACTTTTGGTTTGCTTTGTCTTTTCCAGGGTGACATAGTTGTATTGTTTAGCCAGTTTACTATGATGCTGGATATCTTGGAAGTTGTCCTAAGGCATTGGAACCATAGATACATTAGGTTGGATGGAAAAACACAGATTTCTGATCGGTATGTGACTTTTTTTCTGCTGAAGATGAGAGAGAAAAAAATGGATGTATGCATGATGGTGGGGAGGTGACTTAAACCCCTTACCTTTGTTTTCCGATGTATAGAATTCTGTGGTCACTGGGCATTGACTCTAGAACGGGTTTAATCATAGAATCATAATGTTGGATTTCAGATTGCCTTAGTAAGGATGAGGCTGAAAGGTGTGTTTCAGATGGTCAGGTTACAGTCCTAGCCATTGAAATGGGAACCTCTTGTTTTCAGCAGTTTGTGGTGTGTTTTGATTTGCTTGTGCATCAGCATGCCATAACAAAAGCTCACCTGTACCTATGCCTCAGAAGTGTAGTGTATCTCTCTTACAACGGGCAGATCAGCCCCTTTATTTCTCTAGGACAAACCATTTACTCTGTCCACAGGTGAAAGTGCTGCCATGCTTTTCTTGTATGTGAGCTGTGCTGGTTTTCTACTGTTCCCCTTTTAATTTTTTTTTTTTATGCTCTTTCCTTTGTTTCAAAAAACCTGTCATTCTTGCTGTGGTATTACTTCCCACTTAGAGCTGAAATCTGTTCCTTCCCTTGTAGGTGCATTTGGTACAGAAGACAGTCATGAAGCTAAAGCCCTTCCTCCCCTGTTGACCCCCCATTTGTTTCATGTAATGAAATGTCATTTTCCCTCCTCCAGCTTGCTCTGTGTCCTGTTTTAATCCAGAATCTTTTTCCAAGCCTCTCTTAATTCTTTGCTGTCGATCTGTCACTCTGAGGATGTTTCTGTGGTCACTGCTGAGGACTCTTGGTACCCTTTTTCCTTCTGCATAATGTCTGTACTTTTCAGCTGGTTTGCAAATGCCAGTGTCCTTCCTTTCAGAAGATCATCATTCTAACTTTTCTAGTCAACTCTGGAGCCAGTGTGGTGTTTTCTCCAAGGCCTCATGCATGTTTTCTTGTGTTCTGCAGGATAAATCTAATAGATGAGTTCAATACCGATATGGATATATTTGTATTCCTCCTGTCGACCAAAGCTGGTGGCTTGGGCATTAACCTGACCTCAGCAAATGTTGTTATTCTTCATGACATTGATTGCAACCCCTACAATGATAAGCAAGCAGAAGACCGATGCCATAGAGTAGGTCAGACAAGGTAAGATTATTATTTTTTTAAAAATTATAGCTCTTAGCTTTTCTTGGAGGCAAGCTCTTAAAGGAGGCTAAAAGAAGGACAGTATTTTATGATTAAAAATTCTGCTGTAGGCAGAGACTTGCATAAACCAGCTCTGGGTTGTGTGGGAGCTAGGTGATGGTAATTGTCCTAACGCATGTTGCTGCCAGTACAAAGCTTATTTGTGTTTTCCTACCTTTTCAGTTCTCTGTAATTCTCAAATTTCTGGTGCTAGGAACTATTTCAAGGCAGATCCTGAAGTCTTTGGGACTGTTTGGCAAAGCTGTTTGTTCTCTTCAGGAGACTTCCAAGCTCTAAAGTGATACCCTGTAATCAAGAGTGAAACCATGGTCTGTTTGGCAGTCTTCCGTCAGAATAAGCTAACGAGAGCAATACAATATGTTTAATAACTGATATTTAAATTGTGGTGTGGGGTGAGGAGGAAATGCAGTTGTTTCTGTTAACAGAGATTTTTGTGACCATCCAGACTTTGTGGTGACTGGAGTGCAGGAGAAAACAAGTTTTCTGGCAGTACAGAGCGCAGTTGGTCCAGACAGAAAAAGTAGAAGCTCTTTGTATTGCCTTTGTTTCTGTTAACAGAGATTTTTGTGACCATCCAGACTTTGTGGTGACTGGAGTGCAGGAGAAAACAAGTTTTCTGGCAGTACAGAGCGCAGTTGGTCCAGACAGAAAAAGTAGAAGCTCTTTGTATTGCCTTTTTGTTCATTTCCTTCTTCTTATTTTAAGCATCCTTCCCTTTCTCACTAATCCAAAGAAACGATAAAAATGGGTTTATCCTATTCTGTGGTTTTCAGAGAAGTAAAAGTCATAAAGCTGATCAGTAAGGGGACTATTGAAGAATCTATGCTCAAAATCAGCCAGCAGAAACTGAAGTTAGAACAAGATATGACTGCAGCAGATTCAGGTAAGTGTCTTGCACATAATGATGTCCACTTGATGTGAATTAAGGTTGCTGCAATATATGATTCTGAAAAAAACCAAGGGTTTTGATGCAGACAAGCCTTTGGGGTTTTTTTTCATGTTAAATAAACTAGAAAGATGTATTTGTGCTGATGATTGTTCAGTTTGACAGGGAGTGCCCTCTGAGTTTGAACCACAAATTAGTGACAGGCTCCTGCCAGTAGAGGATTTTGTACAATTTTGGGAATCTAGACTTTTGTCTGGTTTTGTGAAATATTTGGAGCTGTACTAACGCTTGTTTTTTATTCCTCAGGAGAAGGAACCATTCCAGCAGATATAGCCACACTGTTAAAAGCTTCATTAGGTCTCTAAAATGTTACTATGTTGTGGAATTCAAGGAATAAAAGTGATGTTTTACCCCCAGGACTCTTACTTTACTGATGACCATTAATTTTATGAATACTTAGAAATTTTATTATGAACACTTATAACTTTTTATAGTTTCTTTATTGTTTATTCTTTATTTCTATATTGATACTGATAACTTTTAACATCAGTAGCATTCTTTTGATGCGTAAAACCATAAATGGCCCAACTATGCCAACATCAGATGCTGAATAAGCATTATTTTTAAGATCACTTTCCAAAACGGGGACCTAAGAGGTAATTGTTTTAACAGATCTACTACTGCGTAAGATTTGTCAGTATTTTTGTAATCCTTTCTACCTCCAACATATAAAAACTGTCTGTTTCACTGGATTACGCATGTAGACTTTTTATATGTGCCTTATTTGACAATCCCCAAGTCTGTTTCTGCTTATTTTGGTTCATCCAATGTACCGTACTGGGTATCATCCCGTTCAAATAAAATTCCACAGATTAACAAAATGTGTTCATTTTGTGGTTATTTGGGGAGGAACTAAAACAGTTTTATACAAAGAGTGGGGAAGAGGAGCTGGAGTCCATGATTGCTCAGTATTTCAGCCTGTCTTTATACACTGCTAGTGATCAGTCAGTGAGGTGATGTGTGAGTTGGGCATCTGGGGTTTTTTTATTTGGTTTTGGCTGTAGGTATTTTTTCCAACTGTGCATGATTTCTGCAAGCTACCAAATAGATGGAAAAGGAAAGATTTTTAAATGTTTTCAAAGTTTGAACTAAACTTTACTTGGCTTTTACTGGAAATCTTCTGTGCTGCACGTTCCAAAATGTGCTGCTGAAATGGGGTGAATACATGGGAACGTGAGCTGTGCTGCCCTGGTGTAAGGAAGAAGGGTAAGAATCGGTTTGTCTGCCATGCTGCTTTAATCCCACATGTTTTGTTGGACTAAATAGTGGGGCTGAACACAGAACCACACATGTCTAATGCTGCACTAAATTAGGTTGTCTGTTTCTATTGAGCATGATCCTAGCCCAACTCTTAGCCCATTGCCTTTCCATATTCTCCCCTGTTGGCTTCAAATGTGAAATGAAATAAAGTGCCTGCCCTGTGGGGTGGTTTGTGTGG